AGCAACCTCCAACTCCTGGGCTTAGGCGATTCTCTTGCCTCAGCCTCCAGAGTAGCTGGGACTAGAGGCGCCACCAGAACACTTGGCTATTTTTTGTTTTGTTGTAGTTTGGCCGGGTCTGTGTTTGAATCTGCCAACCTTGGTATATGCGGCCGGCGCCCTACCCACTAAGCCATAGGCCCTACCCGGATATGCTCCCTTAATAGGTGAAAATTACTTCAGAAGATGGGAATATAAAGGATAAATTGAGCTCTGATTTATATTTTGTCAAGAAGAATACACTTTAGCTTTGTCTTTTTTATTAATCCAATAGAAAGTATAAGTAAACAAAGTACAAACCATATTAGGTTTGTAATTATGCTTTCATGATAGTAAAGATAATAATTGGGGCATGAGGAAAATGCTTGTGTTTGAAGCATTTCTAAATGTCCCAAAAGTAACATTCAGGGTTACTGTGTTGTTTATGGGCAGGTTTCTTGTAGTGGCATTTTTGCTGGGATTTTAGAACAGTCCCTGTGCAGCCTTTTAGTTGGTGAGATTTCCCATCTCCATTTACTATTTGGTAGTTTATCCACAAGAACATGTTGTATTGATTATGGCAGAATACGTGGGATCAAATAGAGTTCATCTAAGGAAAAAGAACCAGTCAGCCTCTACTACCCCAAGTTCTATTGGTATCTCTGTGGGTAGAGATTATTGAATATTACAACTCTAAGCCACCTGGCCAGGAGATTTATGGGAAAAAAAATAGGTTTTAAAGGTTATTAACTAAACAAGAGGCAGCTGGACTAAAGGAGGTTGAAGGGACATTCCAAAGCTCTTCTCAGTATTCCACCCCGCATAGCATTTGATTTTCCTCAACACTGTGTCCTAGAAAGAAAAGTTTGCTAAAAATGTTGTTTTTGGGGGGTTGGGAGGAGGTTGAGTATAGCGATTATATTTTCAGACCCCAAAGATAAACAACCCTATAAAAATCATAATACAAGCTGGTGTGCAGTGGCTCACACCTGTAATCCTAGCACTCTAGGAGGCTAAGGCAGGAGAATCACTTGAGCTCAGGACTTTGAGACCAGTCTGAGCAAGAGTGAGAGCTCTATCATTACAAAAAATAGAAAAATCAGCCAGGCATTGTGGAAGGCGCCTACAGTCTCAGCTACCTGGAAGGCTGAGGCAGGAGGATCACTTCTGTCTAGGAGTTTGAAATTCCTGTGAGCTAGGCTAACTCCATGGCACTCTAGACTAGGCAGTACAGTGTGACCCTGTCTCAAAAAAAAAAACAAAAAACACACATAGGAGGGTGAGGAAAGATGGGAAGGGCTAAAACATAAGAGTAAAATATAGCATCTTAAATTTCTATGACCTGTTAGCTTTAGGGAAGAAAAACTTTCTGAGGAATAAGTTTTTGAAATAACTTTAGTCACTGAATCACTGTTGCATGTGAAAAAGGGGGAATTTGGCTGTTCATGGAAAAAGTTACCGAATTGTACCACAGTTGAAGATAATCAAAGGAAATGACGAAATGCATGGTCAAAGCTAATTTAGCTTTATTTCTTTTTTTAGCCATCAAGTTTTATCGTAGGGCTATGCAACTTGTACCTGATATAGAGTTCAAGATTACTTATACCCGGTCTCCAGATGGTGATGGCGTTGGAAACAGCTAGTGCGTATATAATTTGATAGACAGAATGCAGAGTTTGCCCTGTTGACTCCTAATGTGATAAGAATGTGTTGCTAATTCTGTTACGCTATATCCTAGTTTGGTATATCCTTGTTGATAAAATTGTAGACATTTTTCAATTAGGGAAATTTAAGATTAGCATATAGAAAAGCATATTTTAAACAGACATAAATATAAAAGGTGATGAAAGCATTTTTAATTCTTTTTTTTTAACAAAAGCATAATCACTAAAAGGAGTAAAAGGACATATTTTACCTTCCTGAAATCCGTTTTAAGTAGAAAGTATTAAAATGTAATTTAGGCCAAAGTTGGCAAAATGTTAATAATGGTTGCAATTGGGTGATGTTTGCAATTTGGTATATGTTTGAAACTCTACATTTTTATTTATTTATTTATTTATTTTTAAATTTCAAGTTAAAATGAGGGTAACAAACAACCAAGTCACAGTATTTGAAGTTAGGTAGAATCTCCCTTAAAACTTTTAATTATACCACAAAAATGCTAAACTATAATGACTTTATTCACTTTGTGTAGTTTGAACATAAAAATTCTAACATTTGTTTAAAAACACAGGTAAAGATTCCTAAAAGAAATAACGTTTCATTATATAGATGCTACTTATATCAAAGTAATGAAGTACATTGATTGTTTTATGTGGACAAAGATCAAGAGAACATGTTTTTAAGCCAATACTTTTGAAGCTATTTGTAAAACACTTATAAAATTGTTTTAGCTTAATCCTGCAGTTCATCAAAGCCCAGTTTGCTGATATTAGAAGGGAAGGGAGTCTGTTCCCGTAAGAGAATGTCAGATTTAGAATGGGCAGTACGTTGAAAAATATAGATTTGATAATATTACCTCTGTCATGAAATAATTGTTGCCTTTATTAATAACTTATGCTTATTGCCAGTGCTAAATTGCATATGATATTAACACTTAAGCTTTGCATAAGTTATATTGAAAACATCCCGATGAAGGTGGTATTAATTGGCTGATATTTTCAGCTAATGATATTGTTCACCAAATTGTAGTTAATAGTATGACAAGTGAATCATTTAGGCTTTTTCTAAAGTTTCTTTAAATTTGGTTAGTCATTTAGACCTACATAAATGTTTAGGTAGAAAACGTTTTATAAATAGATGCCATGTGCTGTTAAGAAAGGCTGTATTGGCAGGGGCCAGGCACAGTGGCCCCTGCCTGTAATCCTAGCACTCTGGGAAGCTGAAGGGGGAGAATGGCTAGAAGTGAGGAGTTTGAGACCAGCCTGGGCAAGAGTGATACCGATCTCTGTTTTTAAAAAGTAAAGAAAAGAGGAAAGTTTGTATTAAAATATTAAAGAAGCATTTCCCTTCTTCACCAGCCCTTTGAAAGTTCTTTAAGTATATAATTGTTTTCTTGTAAGATCTGATAAACCCTAAATGTTTCTTTGCCTTCCTCATAAAGTATTTGTAGAATAGCCATTGAATCCATCTAGCCTCAACCACCCTTGACTTATTGTATTACAAAAAGCCCTTTTTAATTGTCTAACTTCATCCTTGTCTAAACCTTTTTGTAAGTCTAATGATCTAAAGATTTACATAAGCAAAAAAAACTAGACTTTTTTTTAGAATCCTTAATTGCACTTCTGTATATATTGGAACTAAAGTATATATTTGTGAACTGAAGTTTTTTCAAATCTGGTATTTTCTTCTCTGAAGGCGGGGTGATAAGTTAAGGCACATCTGTTAAGAGAGCCTTGGATAAGTTAAGTACCTCAAATGACATCTGTATATTTGGTTTTTATCCACTTAGAATGCATTAAAATCACTTAATTTCACTTAAGATTTTCATTTGAAATTTTTTACTAACTCATGAAATCTCTACACTAGAACTAATTAATTAGTTAAGTCTCAACACCTACATCCAAAAATCCTAAGTGCTTTTGAATGGTAATTACTGAACCTTTTTTCTTTTAGAGAACTTGCAAAATAAGATAAACTATTATCTCATTTCAAAAAGTATCCCATTTTGAATAAGCTTTTAGGTGACTTTTTAAAAGCACATTTGAGAATGCTATGAGAAATCAGTTTCTAAACTATGTTTATAGCCTGAGGCACTGAATTTATTCTCCTTCCTCTTTTTTCAGCATTGAAGATAGTGATGATGATAGCAAAATGGCAGATCTCTTGTCCTACTTCCAGCAGCAACTCACATTTCAGGAGTCTGTGCTCAAACTGTGTCAGCCTGAGCTTGAGAGCGGCCAGACTCACATATCAGGTGTGAATTTTTGGCTTTTGTAACTCAGTGATAAAAACATTAACCTTAAAGATTTCCAAACTTACATGGTCAGATAATTTGCCAGATAATTGCCTCCTTAGATCAGGATATGGTCGGAGATCTAGTTCTAATTATTATTTGTATATACTAACAGGCTTTTCAAACTCTGAAGCAGAGCATTGTGTGTAGTATAACACTATGCTTGTTTAAGGATGCCATACTTTTTTTTTTGAAGACAGAGTCTCACTTTGTCACCCTTGGTAGAGTGCTGTGGCGTCATAGCTCACAGCAACCTCAAGCTCTTGGGCTTAAGCGATTCTCTTGCCTCAGCCTCCCAAGTAGCTGGGACTACAGGTG